GGGGCCACAGTATGTATGGTCATAGGCTTACATTTAGAACCTCTGTAGCTACAAAGCCAGTGTAGCTTCCGTAGCCAACGCATGCATGCTCCTAGGGTTACCTCAAGAACCTCTCTAGACGCGTAGGCAGTGCAGCTATCGGGGCCACAGTATGTACAGTATGGTCCTCGGCTTACATCCAGAACCTCTGTAGCCGCAAAGCCAGTGTAGCTACCGTAGCCAACGCATGCATGCTCCTAGGGTTACCTCAAGAACCTCTCTAGACGCGTAGGCAGTGCAGCTATTGGGGCCACAATATGTATGGTCATAGGCTTACATTTAGAAACTCTGATGCTGCAAAGACAGTGTAGGTAGCATAGCCACCGCAGACATGGTCCTAGGGGTACCTCAAGAACCTCTGTAGCCGCGTAGCCAGTGTTGGTTGCGTACCCGATTCGCTCCCGCTGTGCTCCTTGGGTTGACTCAAGAACCTCTGTAGCCGCGTAGCCAGTGTTGGTAGTGTAGCATAAATACCCATTGTACCCGCTTAGTTACCGTAGCCAACACATGCATGCTCCTAGGGTTACCTCAAGAACCTGTGTAGTCATGTATACAGTGCAGCTATCGGGGCCACAGTATGTAAGGTCATAGGCTTACATTTAGAACCTCTGTAGCTGCAAAGCCATTGTAGCTACCTAGCCAATGCATGCATTCTCCTAGGGGTACCCTGTATCCAGTGCAGCTATCGGGGCCACAGTATGTATGGTCATAGGCTTAAATTTAGAACATCTGATGCTGCAAAGCCAGTGTAGGTAGAATAGCCACCGCAAGCATGGTCCTAATGGTACCTCAAGAACCTCTGTAGCCGCGTAGCTAGTGTTGGTAGCGTAGCATACATACCCATTGTACCCGCTTCGCTACCGCTGTGCTCCTAGGGTTACCTCAAGAACCTCTGTAGTCGTATATCCAGTGCAGCTATCGGGGCCACAGTATGTATGGTCATAGGCTTAAATTTAGAACATCTGATGCTGCAAAGCCAGTGTAGGTAGAATAGCCACCGCAGGCATGGTCCTAATGGTACCTCAAGAACCTCTGTAGCCGCGTAGCTAGTGTTGGTAGCGTAGCATACATACCCATTGTACCCGAGTAGCTACAGTAGCCAACGCATGAATGCTCCTAAGGTTAACTTAAGAACCTCCGTAGCCGCGTATCCAGTGCAGCTATTGGGGCCACAGTATGTATGGTCCTAGTCTTACATCCAGAACCTCTGTAGCCGCAAAGCCAGTGTAGGTAGCGTAGCTACCGCATGCTTGGCCCTAGGGGTACCTCAAGAACCTCTATAGCCGCGTAGCCAGTGTAGCTATCTTGACCATCGCATATATGCTCCTGGGCTTACCTCCAGAACCTCTGTAGCCGCAAAGCCAGTGTAGGTAGAGAAGCCACCGCATGCATGGGCCTAAGGGTACCTCAAGAACCTCTGTAGCCGCGTAGCCAGTGCAGCTATCGGGGCAACAGTATATTTGGTCCTGGGGTTACATCCAGAACCTCTTTAGCTGCATAGCCAGTGTAGCTAGCGTAGCCAACGCATGCATGCTCCTAAGGTTACCTCAAGAACCTCCGTAGCCGCGTAGCCAGTGCAGCTATCGGGGCCACAGTATATATGGTCCTGGGGTTACATCCAGAACCTCTTTAGCTGCATAGCCACTTAGCCAGTGTAGCTAGCGTAGCCAACACATGCATGCTCCTAGGGTTACCTCAAGAACCTCTGTAGTCGTGTATCCAGTGCAGCTATCGGGGCCACAGTATGTATGGTCATAGGCTTACATTTAGAACCTCTGTAGCTGCAAAGCCAGTGTAGCTACCGTAGCCAACGCATGCATGCTCCTAGGGCTGTAGGGGTACCATGTATCCAGTGCAGCTATCGGGGCCACAGTATGTACGGTCCTGGGCTTACATCCAGAACCTCTGTAGCTGTGTAGCCAGTGTTGGTAGCGTAGCATACATACCCATTGTACCCGTATAGCTACCTAAGTCAACGCATGCATGCTCTTAGGGGTACTTCAAGAATCTCTGTAGCTGCGTAGCGAGTGTTGGTAGCGTAGGATACATACCCATTATACCAGCGTAGCTACCGAAGTCAACGCATGCATGCTCCTAGGGGTACTTCAAGAACCTCTGTAGCTGCGTAGCGAGTGTTGGTAGCGTAGCATACATACCCATTATACCAGCGTAGCTACCGAAGTCAACGCATGCATGCTCCTAGGGGTACTTCAAGAACCTCTTTAGCCGCGTAGCCAGTGTAGCTATCGTGACCACTGCATGTATGCTCCTCGGCTTACCTTCAGACCCTCTCTAGCTGTGTAGCCAGTGTTGGTAGCGTATCATACATACCCATTGTACCCGCGTAGCTACCGAAGTCAACGCATGCATGCTTCGAATTCTAGAACCTAATGCTCAAGAACCTCTGTAGTCGTGTATCCAGTGTAGCTATCGGGGCCACATTATGTGCGGTCCTGGGCTTACATCCAGAACCTCGGTAGCCACAAAGCCAGGGTAGCTAGCGTAGCCACCGCATGCATGGTCCTAGGGGTACCTCAAGAACCTCTGTAGCCGCGTAGCCAGTGTAGATATCGTGACCATCGCATATATGCTCCTGGGCTTACCTCAAGAACCTCTGTAGCCGCGTAGCCAGTGTTGGTAGCGTAGCATACATACCCATTGTACCTGCGTAGGTACCGAAGTCAACGCATGCATGCTTCTAGGGGTACTTCAAGAACCTCTTTAGCCGCGTAGCCAGTGTAGCTATCGTGACCACCGCATGTATGCTCCTCGGCTTACCTCTAGAACCTCTCTAGCTGTGTAGCCAGTGTCGGTAGCGTAGCATACATACCCATTGTACCCGCGTAGCTACCGAAGTCAACGCATGCATTCTTCGAATTCTAGAACCTCATGCTCAAGAACCTCTGTAGTCGTGTATCCAGTGTAGCTATCGGGGCCACATTATGTACGGTCCTGGGCTTACATCCAGAACCTCTGTAGCCGCGTAGCCATTGTTGGTAGCGTAGCATAATACCCATTGTACCTGCTTCGCTCCCGCTGTGCTCCTAGGGTTACCTCAAGAACCTGTGTAGTCGTGTATCCAGTGCAGCTATCGGGGCCACAGCATGTATGGTAATAGGCTTACATTTAGAACCTCTGATGCTGCAAAGACCGTGTAGGTAGCATAGCCACCGCATCCATGGTCCTAATGGTACCTCAAGAACCTCTGTAGCCGCGTAGGCAGTGTTGGTAGCGTAGCATAATACCCATTGTACCCGCTTCGCTCCCGCTGTGCTCCTAGGGGTACCTCAAGAACCTCTGTAGCCGCGTAGCCATTGTTGGTAGCGTAGCATAATACCCATTGTACCCGCTTCGCTCCCGCTGTGCTCCTAGGGTTACCTCAAGAACCTGTGTAGTCGTGTATCCAGTGCAGCTATCGGGGCCACAGCATGTATGGTAATAGGCTTACATTTAGAACCTCTGATGCTGCAAAGACCGTGTAGGTAGCATAGCCACCGCATCCATGGTCCTAATGGTACCTCAAGAACCTCTGTAGCCGCGTAGGCAGTGTTGTAAGCGTAGCATACATACCCATTGTACCCGAGTAGCTACCGTAGCCAACGCATGTATGCTCCTAGGGTTACCTTAAGAACCTCCGTAGCCGCGTATCCAGTGCAGCTATCTGGGCCACAGTATGTATGGTCCTAGTCTTACATCCAGAACCTCTGTAGCCGCAAAGCCAGTGTAGTTAGCGTAGCCACTGCATGCTTGGCCCTAGGGGTACCTCAAGAACCTCTCTAGACGCATAGGCAGTGAAGGTAGCGGGGCCACAGTATGTATGGTCCTGGGCTTACATCCAGAACCTCTGTAGCCGCAAAGCCAGTGTAGGTAGCGTAGCCACCGCATGATTGGCCCTAGGGGTACCTCAAGAACCTCTATAGCCGCGTATCCAGTGTAGCTATCTTGACCATCGCATATATGCTCCTTGGCTTACCTCCAGAACCTCTCTAGCTGCATAGCCAGTGCAGCTATCGGGCCTACAGTAATGCTCCTGGGCTTACATCCAGAACTTCTGTAGCCGCAAATCCAGTGTATGTAGCGTAGCCACCGCATGCATGGTCCTAGGGGTACTTCAAGAACCTCTGTAGCCGCGTAGCCAGTGTTGGCTGCGTAGCATACATACCCATTGTACCGGCTTCACTCCCGCTGTGCTCTTAGGGTTACCTCAAGAACCTCTGTATTCGCGTAGCCAGTGTAGCTATCGTGACCATCGCATATATGCTCCTGGGCTTACCTCAAGAACCTCTGTAGCCGCAAAGCCAGTTTAGGTAGAGAAGCCACCGCATGCATGGGCCTAAGGGTACCTCAAGAACCTCTGTAGCCGCGTAGCCAGTGCAGCTATCGGGGCCACAGTATATATGGTCCTGGGGTTACATCCAGAACCTCTTTAGCTGCATAGCCAGTGTAGCTAGCGTAGCCAACGCATGCATGCTCCTAGAGTTACCTCAAGAACCTCTCTAGACGCGTAGGCAGTGCAGCTATGTACAGTATGGTCCTCGGCTTACATCCAGAACCTCTGTAGCCGCAAAGCCAGTGTAGGTAGCGTAGCCACCGCATGCTTGGCCCTAGGGGTACCTCAAGAACCTCTATAGCCGCGTAGCCAGTGTAGCTATCTTGACTATCGCATGCTCCTGGGCTCCTCCAGAACCTCTCTAGCTGCATAGCCAGTGTAGCTAGCTTAGCCAACGCATGCATGCTCCTAGGGTTACCTCAAGAATCTCTGTAGCCGTGTAGCCAGTGCAGCTATCGGGCCTACAGTATGTATGCTCCTGGGCTTACATTCAGAACTTCTTTTGCCGCAAATCCAGTGTAGGTAGCGTAGCCACCGCATTCATGGTCCTAGGGGTACCTCAAGAACCTCTGTAGCCGCGTAGCCAGTGTTGGTAGCGTAGTATACATACCCATTGTACCCGCTTCGCTCCCACAGCCTGATAGAATGCCTCTATATGAACTTTTAGTTAGAGCAAGTCACTGTGACCTTAAATCTCTGCTATAGCTACTGCTGGATGCTGAGCATGCGCAGTGATCAAATTGCCAAGCAACAAATAACTCGTCTGCAGAACTTCAACTTTCTCTGTTTTTCTCCTTTTAGCTACCCTTACTATTAAAATCACTTTAGCTTTTGAATATAGAGTAGAAGGAACCCTTGCAATACTGTTTTGCATCAAATTTCAGCATAGTTTATTGAAAATGTCTTGAACTAAGCTCTCTTATCTCAACAATGAAGATTTATGTTCCCAGAATTGTTATACACACTCCTCACTTTCCTGTTAAAATCTCAAAAATAGGTGGATACTTTTCTTAATTAAGTAGCTAGTTGTATAGAACTGTCAATTTCCTACTAGAATATACCAGAAGATTTCTTAGGTATCAACTAATTTGTCAAGAAATCATCATTTCTGCACACCACCCCCATACATTCTTACTAATTCCTGTAAAGTACATTCAGAGTGTAAACATGCAGCTATGGCTATGGATCAAAGCTATCACAATAAGGCACTTTCAAATATATGCAGATTATGTGCATCAAAAGTATTAACATATAAGCAAATAACAGCGGGAAATAAAGCTCAATCATGCATTACATTCCAAGAGACAATTCTCAACAAATTTGACATTGACATATCAAAGGATGAAGAAAATGTGCATCCCAAAAATATATGCCATAATTGTTTTAGAAATAGATTAAAGAATGACAAACTTAAAATATGTTTAAGCTGTCATAAAAGCACAACAAATGATAAAACACAAAATGAATTTATAGATAAAGTAAGAAGTACAGATAAAAAATGGATGGAGCATCTTGATGGATTATGTTGGACATGTAAGTGGTACAATGATGAGAATAAGTTTATTAAGAAGGCCGTCAAAAGAAAGTTACTATCAGATCCAATTGCGTGCAGTACTCCAATTAAAAAACAATGTATGTCTACTCAAATGACACCACCATCTAGATATAATAATCATAAATCAACGCAGGTAGCATTACAAGAAGAAGATGTTATAAAGCAAATTCTTTCAAAGAATGTAAACAGGCCACTAAGTAGATTAGAGGGACACTTAATGACAAGCTTAGTAAAACGGGCTTGCAGCAAGACAGGTGGATCAATATTACGATGTCCAACAGGTGGAAAGGTAATAATGATTGATAACTATTCATTTAAATTAGATTAGATGATTGGCTCTAAATATAATATATAAATATCATGAAGCACCTGGATTACTCAAGAAATAACAAATTGGTTTGCTCCTATCCTATTTATTATTATAATGCCTATTTATGGTCATATAGAAATATATGTTTTACCAATCAATATGTTATTTCAGCCCCTCACATATCACAGGATAATTCAGCCTTACAGAGAAAGTAAGGATGCAAGTTCCCCTCTTAAAAGGAAGCGTGCGAAACAGTTATTGGAAGTGCGAAGTTTTTCATCTGGTTCTGAGGATGAATCGTATATTGAGCAACAGTCGAGAGAACTGAAATATATACCAAAGACTAAAAAATCAAAAATCATGCAAAAAGCAGGTCTGAAATCAAATGCATTCTCTACAAGAAAAATGTTGTCTCTTAAGACTAATGCAAGACTGACAGGTACGCAAATGGAAGTTATTAAGCGTTATCTTAAGAGTGAAAATGCGAAATATTCATCAACAAAGTCGGAACGAGAAATGAAGGTTGAAATGCTTGGTGATCACCTTCGTGCAAAGCTTGTAACAATTGATGATCGAGATACATCAGCTCCTCATAGCAAAAAGGGGAAAGTGAAAAGGAGCAAACCTATGGTGTATGTCAAAAACCTAGAGATGTTTATCAAAAATCATATCGAAAAGATAAACAAGGCTGATCTGTTGATTTGGGTTAGTCCGATACCTGAAGATGAAATATGGGTCAAGGTAATTTTTCATTTTAACCAGTGTTGTAAATCAATATCTTCATTTTCATGTAGTTATAATTCAAATGATAAATTTTTAAGTATCATGGCTACGGGTGCTAATACATACTTCAATGAATACCTGTAACTTGTATTATGAATGAAAATCATTGTGAATCCATGATTGATATAAATCATTTATTTAGGTTGGAGGGGATCATGGCGGTGATAGATGGGCAAGCTCTTTCAAAATGGTATTTCAAGTCTTAAACACATATCACCCGAATGCAACGAGAAATACAGTTCCATTTTGCACCTTCTCTGGGAAAGATATGCGTGCAAATCTTGAAAAAACCCTGAAGCGATATTCATCACAGCTTGATGATTTAGACAAAGCGACAGTGAACGGGAAAAAAATTGTTGTATTTATGTTCGGAGATTATGAGTTTCTTGCCAAAGCCATGGGCCTATCTGGAGCTAAGGGTGTACACCCTTGTCTTTGGTGTGAAATTACGTACAAGTCTATGAATATTCCCCTGAAATCTCGTGGAAAGGCACCCAAACGATCACTGAAGAAACTCAACAAAGATCATAATAAATACATTACACAAGGAAAGGGTGACATAACCAAGGCTAAATACTTCAACAATGTGATATGTAAGCCAATTTTTAATATTCCAATTGACAGAATATGTCCCCCGTATTTACATATCCTTTTAGGAATAATAAAAAAGCAACATGATATGATGGAAAAGGAAACACATGATCTAGATGTGAGGATAGCATGGGCTCTGGCAGAAGAAGAGAATCCCCCCAGTTACCTGAGTGGAACTGTTTATGGGGACTATATAGAAAATTGCAAGAGAATTTTATCAGTCAAACAATCCATCGCCAAATGTGAATCTTCTAAAGAACTTTCAAAATTGCAAAATAAATTGAAATCCTTAGAAGAAAAAGATGATCTTAAATTTGAGTCAAGTCCCATCACTGCTTACCTGGATAATGTACTGAAAGACAATGCAATTACAAGACAAGATTACCATGGAAAATCATTTGTTGGCAA